CCGCGTAAGCGGGTTATCACCCGTGATCACGATGCAAGTCCATGCTATCACACCCCGCTCTCTAGAGTCGTAAAGGGCCATGGTCCTTACTTATTACCATAGTTTACCCGGCTATCCCTAAGGACTATCGAACACACCCGTAGGCCAATCCTATATCTAGGATCAATTTATTATTCACTTTATCTTGGGCATCCCTTAAAGCCTACCCCTAGTATAACTTAAAGTTCATACTTATCCACCTTAAAGTATCTCTTAAGACTACTTAAGGTTTAACAATTCACAATCCAACCTTAGGATCAATTCTAGCATAATTACTTATCCAATTCCCCGACTAGTATCTTAATACTAGTCGGATAAATTCTATCAATCCAAGTTCTCAACTCATAGTCATATAGACAATTCCAAACTGATTTTCCATTGAAAACATCATTTATATCAATATACAAAATATCACTTTTAATCACTCATATATTCTTATATGAAGTAAAAAGCATATTTCAACATAGGTTTCATAGTTAATTCCATTTTCAAGTCAACATATTCATAAAACATGATCATACACAATTTACTCTTAAATTTGTATAGCATGCTCCTTTTCCTTATAGACCATAGTCTTCTCATTCTTAGCCATTAGTAATCATTAATAACCCATAAAAACACATTTAATTACTTTAGGCAATCTGATGAAATTAACTCACTAATTATAAGCAATATAGTTAGTCATCCTCACCTTATGATGTGCTTAACTAGTTGCCTTTGCGAAACACCTCGATCCATCCTCGTTCTAGGCCGTTCAAGAGTGAAAAATCAGAGTCGCAGGTGAAAGCCGGGCGGCTTTCGTGAAAGCCAGACGGAGTTCATGGCGTGCAGTTGCGGGCAGTCTGTTTTTCTTGGCAGTTTCCGGCGATTTCAACTCCTATCGATTCCACGATTCTTCTAAGTTAAATATCAACACTTTATGTCATTTTTCTACACTTTTATACGTGTAGAACTCATGGTTTAATCCACCATATGATTTCTAAAAATCATACACAATAAACTAGTTAAAGAACAATAGTAATGTTCTTACCTCTTCTTCTAGCTTTTTTCCTTTGGTTTTCCTTCCTCCTAGCTTCCCCAAGTTCTTGTTGCCACTCTCATCTTCATGTTGGGTGGCAGCTGCATATCAAGGGCCGCTTCATTGAATCTCTTGACCCATTCGGCCGCGACATAGATGTCTCCCGTTCCATCAAACGGCTTACATCCCAAATCTCTCGCCTCTTTGAGGTACTTCGAGATCCTTATTATAGGAACCTCGGCACCTCGACCTCCTCGGGGTTCTATGCTCTCCCTAGGAGTCACATGGCTTCCTCTCCTCGAAGCCCCTTCCAAAGCACGCCTTGCCCGGCGCCTTTGGCGATCTTCATGGTATTGTCGAAGCAATTCCTCAATCCTCTGTACAGCGTCACTATCGTCGCTCTCTTCACTAACGCCATCATCCTCCCCATCATATGGGTTTCAACTAGCTCAGTTCCCGGTCGGTAAGTTGAATCCTCCTCGGACTCGTAATGCTCATCAGTTGTCTCCACATGACCGTCACTCACCGTCAGTGAGTGGCCTGCACGGCCCTGTCCCCGAGACACCCTCGATGTCCCTCGACTGCCATGTTGGGACCTCGTCGGTGCCTGGCCAGTCGGGTTTCTTCGAGTGATTCTACCAGTACATTCCATTTCTGAAAAATATTGAGAATGAGTCATTAGACTCGTATCAAATGTCAATTGTCGGATAGGCACTTAAAGACACCCTTTGGCTCAAATCATCATCATACCAATTGTTAAGGGTACCATCTTAACAATTAGAGACATTGCAACTCAAGTACCAAAAGTTCTATAAGTACAAAACTTCTTATGCTCATGGTTTTCAAATTCATTTTCAAAAACGAATTTGGAAGGTTCTTTATGATGTTTACGGACTAAGGCTCTGATACCAATTAAATTGTCACGCCCCGGACCTACCCGGACACGTTAACAACCCGCCGTACAGTACGAATAGTCAACCGCAGTCCAACACATCCATACTATACAAGGCGTCTTGAATACCATTCACGCATAGTACATCCATAAACAAACATAATGTAAATTATTCATTTAAAGCAGCGGAAACATTTAATAAGAGTGTTCAAGCCACACTTGGCATAATTAGGCATACAAGCCCCCAAAATAATTATTCAGAAAAATAATACCCATGAGTATTAATGTATTTGTTTTTAAAACAGAACGGAAGAAGCACGAACCACATCTTCTTTCCTCGATATTCTCGAAGCAACGGAAATGGTAGCAACCTTCAAGTTCTACCTGAAACTGTGAGGTGGCCTCCCCCGTGAAGGGGGGGGGGGGGGTCAGTACTTGGAAGCATTTGACAAGTACAATGACAACTATACTAAGTATAATCAATGTTTCAATTCTTTAAGACCCTCATATAGAGTGGTATCATAATATAATTGCAAATTAATATTTGCCACTTATTATCTCTATCATAAGTAAATTCATTAATTTGTCGGCACGCGGCCCCTTTTTGTATATTCCTTTTCATTCATCATTTGTACAACCCAACCCGTGGGTCTTATTATTATTTCTACGGGTTTTGCTACCGATGTCCGAGACCTCATGAGGCTCTCAGTTCGAACTTCAACATCTCACCCCTGGACTCATACGCATCATCCCGTAGGAAGGTAGGGCCCTTCGGGGTCCTATCTTATGTGTTACCGCTATCGGATCCTAGTTAGGTCTCCGATTCGGATTCCACCTTAACCCGTGATCACGATGCAAATCCATGCTATCCAACTCCGCTCTCTAGAGTCGAGAAGGGCCATGGTCCTTACTTATTACCATAATTGACCAGGCTATCCCGAAGGACTACCGAACACACCCGTAGGCCAATCATATATCTAGGATAAATTTATTATTCACTTTATCTTGGGCATCCCTTAAGACCTACTCCTAGTATAACTTAAAGTTCATACTTATCCACCTTAAAGTATCTCTTAAGACTACTTAAGGTTTAACAATTCACAATCCAACCTTAGGATCAATTCTAGCATAATTACTTATCCAATTCCCCGAATAGTATCTTAATACTAGTCGGATAAATTCTATCAATCCAAGTTCTCAACTCATAGCCATATAGACAATTCCAAACTGATTTTCCATTGAAAACATCATTTATATCATTATATAAAATATCACTTTTAATCACTCATATATTCTTATATGAAGTAAAAAGCATATTTCAACACAGGTTTCATAGTTAATTCCATTTTAAAGTCAACATATTCATAAAACATGATCATACACGATTTACTCTTAAATTTGTATATCATGCTCCTTTTCCTTATAGACCATAGTCTTCTCATTCTTAGGCATTATTAATCATTAATAACCCATAAAAACACATTTAATTACTTTAGGCAATCTCATGAAATTAACTCACTAATTATAAGCAATATAGTCAGTCACCCTCACCTTATGATGTGCTTAACTAATTGCCTTTGCGAAACCCCTCGATCCGTTATTATTATTATTATTATTATTATTATTATTATTATTATTATTATTATTATTATTATTATTATTATTATTGTTATTGTTATTATTATTGTTATTATTGTTGTTATTATTATTGTTCTTATTATTGTTCTTATTATTGTTCTTATTATTGTTATTACTGTTCTTATTACTGTTCTTATTATTGTTATTATTATTGTTATTATTGTTTTTTTCTATTGTTCTTATTATGGTTATTATTGTTCTTATTACTATTAGTAGTAGTAGTACTAGTACCACTACTACCACTACTACTACCACCACCACCACCACCACCACCACCACCACTACCACTACCACTAAAAATGAATTAAAAATGTGAAATTAAACAATAAGAGCAGTATGATTTTATTTTCCAAATTAGATTAATTATTTTCATGTTTGAAAATATTTTCTATTTAATGCCGGTATTGTCAAAATGTGGTAGCAAAATTTCAAGATAAGAATAAATTAGTCTTTTTAGGTAGAAAACATAATACTAATCTTTTAAAGTTTTATATTATTTTTTATATGACTAATTATGATATAGTTTATAATTTATCTTGTGCATCGCGTGGGTGAAATACTCTTTTGCACTAATGATAAAGTTAGTTATCTTAACATAATATTTCAATTAGTAATAAAAACAAACTTATTGAATCACAAAAATTGATATAAGAATTTCATATATAAAATCTGAAATTAGATCCGGTTAGTTAGTTAACTAGGAATAACTAAATATTTATGACAAAAATAAAAATTATTTACAAAAATGTGGCATCTTATATTTATTGACTATATTAGAAACTTTAAGAGTAAATTCCCAGCCTAACTAGGAGCAAAAAATAAAGTACAAAAATAGTTCTATTGTCGTTTGATTCAATAACAATATGTAAAAAGACATGTGTTGACAAAACCCTAATTATTGTATTTGTCATCCTGACCGAGTTAGTGTCATAAAAATGGCACTGAGCACTGTGCCATTATTAGTATTGTATTGGCAACAGAGCAATATTTTCATCTTAAGACTATAAAATTATTTTAAAAATAGCAATTGTGGCTATTTCAGATTCAAATCGGAAAATTATATGAAATGTTACAAAAATATTTATTAAAATCAAATGTCAAAAGTTATACTTACTCTATATTTTGAAATTTTCTGCACTTTCATATTTTAGTTGTATTCAAAAGTTACTACATTTGCCTTTTAGTACAAATTTTGTTTAGAAATATTCAATGAAGTAAACGCCGACACTAAATGCGAATCATTAAGGATGTTTTCATTATCTGATCTGATTTGATTTGGTTTGATTGAGTCTAAATTGATCTGATCCGAATTAATCTGAACTGATCTGATAAATGTCTTATCTATATTTTTTAATCATTCAAGTCTAGTCTCATCCCATATAAGAGTGAAAATAGTGCAAGTAAAACATCTTATATTGAAAATGTCGGCTAAATTAAAATGATCTTCACCTCGTCGTACCATCCTATCACCACACCCACCAGTCATGCGAATTAAATGCCTAATAATAAAATCCTCTTAAATTTAGAAGTACAGTACACCTAACCTATTTGGATAACAACCCGGCAACGCTCAACTAACTTATCTACTTTTGTGCGGAGGAAAAAGATACTTACTCCCTTCCAAAAAAATTGCCAAATTTCTTTTTTTGGTTATCCCAACAAGATTTGTCATTTCCATTTAAAGCAAGGAATATGTGGCTAAAGTTAATTCTCTCTCCTCTGCACAAATTTCAACCACACAGTTTTTACTTTATTAATCTACGTGAAAGTCAAAGTTGACAAACCTTTTCGAGATGGAGGGAGCATTTATACACATAATTCCAAACTTTTATGCATTTTACAAAAAATTAAATTGGAGTTTTAATGAATTAGAAATACTACATAAATGATCAATACAATTTACTGCATTCGCTCTCTTTTAATTGCAACATTGAACTTTTTGCACTATTCGAGTATTCTATTTTGACTATATTTTATTTATTAATGTATTATAAATTAAATTTATAAAAAAATAATGTTAGATTCTTCTCATTCTAAATTTTTTAAAAGAAATTGTCCCATGTAGGACTAAAAAACTTTTAAAATTCTTAATTAGGACTAAGTATGTTTATTTCCCTAAGTACGACTTTATTAATCCTATACTAAAACTAACGTTTTTTACCCGTACAGATTTGCCCTTCGTTGAAAATACCCCATTCGCGTAACATACCCCATCCGCGTAACCGTTTTTTCCCCATTTCGTTCGCTTCCTGATTTTCAGAGTTTCAGTTACGATGCTTTCCCCTTGTTTTACGCTCCCCTGTATTATCTCCTTCCGTTTTCACCGTGTCTTTCTGTATCAACCAATCACTTATGCCATATCTCATCTTTGCTCTGTCTATCATAAGCTACGACCAAACGCATATGTTGAGGTGAAGTGTTCCAATTGTTCTGGTAATTATCTAACTGCTAATATTATCAGTTTCTTCATTAATCATCTTCTGTATTATCGGATGTTGTAGAAGAAGGTAGCGACAATTGAAGGATATTTTAATGTATTTGTTGTTATTTGTCATTGTTATACATTCCGAAACCTAAAATCATGTTCCATGTCTGTGTTGAAATCTGGAAAATATGTCATTCAGTATACATATATGCGCTTATCCTTCATGGTTGTACTCATGGTCATCGTTTGACTTGCGCCTGGGATTCTGTGTTTGGTGTTTTCAGTTGGAATTTTAATGACATAATCTTCGCATAATGTGTACTCGTAGTCATCATTTGACTTGCGGGTGGGATTTTGTGTTTGGTGTTTTCATTTCGAATTTAATGACATAATTTTGGCATAATGTGTACTCATGGTCATCATTTTATTTTTGGCTGGGATTCTGTGTTTGGTGTTTTCAGTTTGAATTTAATGACATAATCTTGGCATAATGTGTATTCATAGTTGTCATATTGTTTTTCATTTTATTTGAACAATTTATATTTATTTATCTAGTTATCCATATGGATTCCATTGTTATGATTATGCTGAAGTTGGGTGGAAGTTGGACCAATGACTATAACTTCAACAGTAACCTCACCTTTGCTATTCAAGTTCTTTACTCATCTACATACAAAGACTTTATAGAGCAACTTTCTTCCATATTAAGTGATTCTTACAATGCAACAAGTGAGTTGAAGTTATCTTACATGGTTGATGGTTGCCCTCCACCTGTGTATATCAATGATGAAGCCAGTTTCCGTTTTTTCCTCAACCTTAAGGTTCTTCAGACTGATTTCAGCAAGTACCCATTGTGTGTGGAATTCTCAATTCATGGTTACACTCCTTGCTCGGTGCCTGCTACGGAAAATACTGTACCTATTTATGCTTCACCATCTCATGTTTCTTCTGAGGAACATGATAACATTAGTGGACAAAAATCTGATTCCAACTCTTACACTATTTTTCAACATGAATCCAATCTCACACAAAAATCTCCTAGTCCCATTACAATCAATGATGATGTATATCATAGTCCATTGTCTTCTGTCAGCCCTTGTCAGTCACCTCCTACTCATTTACATTCTACTGAGTCATTTTCCTTCCATCATAATGTTGAAGTTATCACCCACTATCATCCAACACAGATCATGAAGTATGCCATATATAATTCTAAGTTTGACCTCAGTCACCATTTGAAGTTGTATGCGATTGATAATGGCTTTCAATACCGAACACTTACATCAAAGAAAGGGGTATTGCATGTTGTATGTTGTGATGACAATTGTAAATGGGCTGTGAGGGGTGTCAAGTTACTTGGTGTTCAAATGTTTCAGATCAGAAGGTATGTTCCCATGTTATCTTTTTTTACCTGTATTCTTTTGTATTAATATTCCACATATGTGGCATTTCTTCCATCATGACATATATTTTTTCATTGCAGGTTCGACTCCACACATACCTGCTCCATTGACTTTAGACAAGGAAAACAGAGACAAGCAACATATCGCACCGTTGCTGAGCTAATCTCCCATAAATTTTTGGATGCATCAAGGAAACCGTATGCACCAAATCTAATCCGGGAAGACATGAGTGTGGCCCATGGCATTTCCATGTCATATAAGAAAGCATGGAAAGCTCAAAAGCTAGCCATGCAAAGGCAATTTGGATCTGATTTTGAGTCTTATCAGAAACTACCTTCCATGGCTTATATGCTAGAAAAGAGAAATCTGAATTCTGTAATTTCTTTAATAATAGGTGATGAGGATGAGTTTCGTTACTTTTTTATGTGTCTTTCACCTTGGCGGCAGGCATGGGATTTTTGCAGACCTGTTTTAATTGTTGATGGCTCATTTATGAAGGCATACTATAAGGGGACACTACTAACAGCTTGTGGCCAAGACGCTAACGGTCATATTGTACCTTTAGCTTTTGGAATATGTGATTCCGAATCCAAAGCTTCGTGGAATTGGTTTTTGAGCCAAGTGCGTGACAGTATAACCTTCCGACCTGATATGTTTATTGTATCTGATAGACATGAAGGTATTCTAGGTGCTGTTAAGGATATTTTCCCTCATGCTCTTCATGGATATTGTGTGGAGCACCTTCGGCGTAACATGGTTCCAAAGTTTAGGGGCGCGGGTAAGAATTTGGGTTGGAAATTCAAGGCTGCCTACATGGCATCGACACTCAAGGAATTTGAGGAATATATGTCCTTGTTGGATTCTGAGGATATTCGTATACGACCTTGGCTTGAGAAGATTGGTTTTGAAAAGTGGGCCAAGTGCATGTCTGGTCCTAGGAGATACGATATCATGACTTCCAACTGTGCTGAATCTATGAACAACGTCAATGTGTCTGCAAGAGAGTATTCTACATCAAAACTCGTGGATTTCTTGAGGGAAAGAATGCAGCAATGGTTTTCAGAAAGGAAGGAAAATGCTGAGAAAACACGTACATTTTTTGCTCCCACACGTGAGAAGCATTTGGTGGCCCTTCAAGGACAAGCTTGCAGGATGCAGGTAACTCAATGTGTGCTAAATGCGTATACATTTATTCGCAAGAAATATGCATTTGATTTTAATTATTTGTTCAGTTATTGTATTTTATACCTGGCAGCAATTCCAAAAATATGACATTTGGTTACGATCGAAACCCCTCTTCCATGTTTCCCAGACCTTATCCCCCAAATCATTTCTGTGAATATCCATCATTTAACTTTATTATTTTTTATCTTTTTTAAAAACAACATCAGGTGAAGCCAACATCTTATACAGAATTTGAGGTGGTTGATAGACATTGTCTGTCATTTGTAGTTGATTTGAATTCTAAGATATGCAGTTGCGGGGTCTTTCAATTGTCACATTTTGTTTGTGTGCATGTTGTTGCTGCTATTGGTACCAGGCCAGCGATGTCATGCTATGATTATATATCCAAATATTACACTCGAGATTACTGGTTGTCCACCTGGAGTAGCGTTATGCACCCTATTTGTGATGTGGAGTCTTGGTCAGTTCCTCCTGATGTTTTGAATGTTCGTTGCAAGCCGCCTTCGTGTCAAAAAAGACCACCCGGTCGTCCCAAAAAGTCAAGAATCCCATCAATTGGTGAACATCGTCGTACGAAGCGTCAAAAATGTTCTCGCTGTCATGCTATTGGTCACAACAAAAAAACCTGCCGCAATCCACTGCCCATATCAAATGCCTGATGTATTTTTTAAGTTTTCTTCTTTAAGAATTTTTAATTATGGTGTCATTGTTTTGAAATGTCCATGTTGATTACATAAATTTATGCACAATTTAGAGCCAGTAGTTTCCTGAATTCATGTATTTGGATTACATGATGTTTTAATTTCCTTTATACGATTACGTGTTTTGCACTATTGTTGATGGATATCATATTTTTAATTCCACCAATGTTCATGTCATTTTGCCATCTTTATTAGTACCATACAACCCACAAATTGTACCTTTTTTTAATTAAATTTCTACAAATCAATGTTGACAGTTATCATGCTTCATCCATATATGCCATAGTTTTGGCATTACACGTCAAATAAACACAATTGATATGTGTACCAAATGTAATGTTCACAATTTCTTTACTGCCAATAATAAATTATACATTGTACAATGTTGATCTCAACATATCAATGAGCCATTCCACATTGTAGTCTAACATTCTGCCATTTAAAAATATAAGCGTAAACAGTGCAAAATTGCCATAAAAAAGGCATTTTAAATTACATTTAATGGCAGAAATATTACGTTTGCATACGTCTGTTATAGAAACTTTTCCCCTTTGATTTAATAGCAAACAACTACACATAAAATTTAAATCCAAAACATTACTCAAAGGAGTCAAGGACATACTACACCATTATGCAAAACGCTCAGTCAACATTGTAAGTCAAACATCAAACATTAAACGTAAATATTCAAAAAACAACATTTCATTCAAGTTTCAAATGCAACTCCTCGGTCCCTGCTTCTGTTTTTTGCGTTCCTCCATCCTCTTGTTGTTATACAACACTAACTCTGTGGCCATCTTTTGCCTATACATGGCCATGTCCTTTGACTTGATCTCTTTTATATCTAGCCCCATCATCAAAAATTCGGCAATCTTCAATACGTACATGCCACAGTTTCTCCTACAATCATGACGCACCAATACGAAATAAATCATTTTGTATTACATATTAATATTATGTTTCTGAAAAATACTATACACGACATATTTTACCTGTCTTCTTGCTGTGGGCAATCCTCGGCAGGCTCCAACTCTAACACTTCGTTACCCATACGCTCATACCCAATTTCATCATAAACACCATGCACGTCCATGACTTTTGGCAGCAACCACTGTATGCTCTCTACAAACGGTCTAATGTCTCTTAAACTATCAGCCCGTCTGGTTTTGGAGTTGTAAACTTGTATCTTTCTTTTTTTAACTTCCAAAACAAGTAACACCCAGTGGTTGCTATTATTAAGCGGGAGGTATACGAACTCAGATTCTGCCCAACTCCTAGAGAATGGTGAAGCACTGCCTTGAATTTCGTCTTCAATCACTGCAATGTTCGCTGCTTCTGTAATCGTCGTCTCACCTTTTTCTATCTTCTCATTTTGACGTCTCAGCATTTGTAGAAAGTAAGGCCCACTAGCGCTGTAGGGGTGCTGCACCATGTACTGTACTTGCTTGACATTCAAGTAGTACATCCCTGCATAAATGTGCTAAGAACAAATGCAAAATCAAAGAATTAATCACAGAATATTTCTGAATTTTTTATATAAAAACATACATTGTCATGATTTATGATCCACATTTTACTTAAGCTTTTATATTTCTAAAAGTGATCAGTCAGAAACATTACCATCTCGTCCAGCCACTCTGGATTGACAAACAACTTGTACAACCATGTTTTTGATTCTATCTTTGTCATATCCAGAATAAATGGTACGCCTCTCATGCTGTCCTCATCTTTGCGGTATCTTCTGCCACCTGCTTCCTTTGTTGCCCTCTTCAATAGTCTAACTTGAAGATAAGTTTCTAACTTCCGTACTTCTTCTTCCGGTGGAGATTCAGTTGGATTTTCTGCAAATGGTCCATACTTTCTAGCCGGTAAAAAGTGGTCCTCCTCACTTTTTCTCGCTCTTTCTTTCCGTCTCCTCTTTGCAGCCACCACATTCTCTGCTGGTGTATATCTGTCTGGTGATCTTGCATTTCGTTTAGGTCTTGTATCGGCACCACATGTGATCTCAACCTGCACATCAACAAAAAAACAATATAGTTGAACTAATATTCCACTTTTATGCATTTATATTCATAATTATATACAACACCACTTACACTCTTTTCTATGTTCACGTCTGCATGAACACTTGTACGTCCAGTTCCTTGCGCTATCTCCTGGACACGCACACTTGCAACTTTCTGCCATTATAAATTAATATTAACAGATATATATATCAAAATACAAGTCAAAGTGAGTTGTTATGAACCTCTCCCTTTCGACTATGCTCCTCTGAAGTTTTTTCGCCTAATACAAGTTTCTCCACTTCATCCACGCTTGTGATTAACTCATTCACAAATTGGGTGTTCAAATCTTCGCAATTTTCCTCCTCATTGTTCACCCCTCTGCCAACACTTTCTTCCACACCCCTCATGCCTTCTTCCTGATTTTGTTTGTTGCTTCCCCCATCTTTTTCCTTCTCCCCACATTTGCCCTTTTCTACTTCTTTAGTCCTCTCTAACACATTTTCTTCACTTCCATCTTCTACTTCTGCTTCCTGGAATTTTTCTTGTGTTTGTGGACCAAATATGTTATAATTTGGCATGCTACTGATCACTGCATCATCATCTCCATCACCTGCGTTTTGCTCTCCTTCATTATCTTGATCTCCTTGAGCTTCTTCATCACCTTCTTCTGTGTTGTTTTTTTCTTTGCTTTCCTTGCTAACCCCTTCACTCTCCGCCTCATCCTTCCTGTTCATGGCCTCCAACAACTGCTTGAGCAACAACTCCTGCCTCTTCTGGGTTTTCCTAACTTTTTTTCATTCTGCCATAATCTTGGCATTCTCCTTGCTAAGTTTCCTAACATTTCTCAGTGTCAAATCTGTCTTTCTGGCAGTTCCAAAACCCACCTTACCACCACTATCATCCTCCTCTTCGTCCTCCTCCCCTTAATCCTCAATTTCCATTTTTTCTTCCAACTTTTCGTTTTTGGCCTTTTCCAAAACTGTGGCTGCACTTTTGGTCTTTACCCTCTTCTCTATTTTCTGAAATACCTTCACCCCATCAACCATACATCCCCCAGCAATTCCAGGATTACTCCTCCTCACAGAACTTCTCATTTGCTTGGACAGTAAAATTGGAAAATGTTCACCTTCCACATTTGTAGGCTCCATCCTTTTCCACTCAAACTGCAAAATAAATAAAATTAACAATTTATATTTAAAATGCAAAGACCATCTTTTCAGACTCCTACATAGTAATTAACAACTAAATGCTATTTATTACCTGTTCATTCTTGAAAATGATTTTGCTCAAAACTTCCAGTGATGGCTTTTTTACAAATTCCCACTTCACAGCCCTTGGTATTCGAGTCTCTCGCCCTTCAATCACACTGCATATATCTGCCTTGGCCAGTCCTGTGAAGGTTTCAAATGCCCAAACTTGTATGGCAATTAAACATCCTGTCAGTGTGACGCGTGTCCCTTTACATTTCTTTAAACTCTTGGCATTGGTCCTCATGTTATCCACCAACTCAGCCCAGACATCATCCCCCCATGGATATTCATTGAAATCATCCAAGTTTTCAACCAAATTCACATACATTGCTGGTAATTCTCTTGCTGTGTGGTTCCCAAACAAACCATGTGACAGCACATGGAGCAATGCAAGCTTCACACCATCGTTTTGGTCATTGTCAGGGTCTCCACTATTGTAATTCATTAAAGCATTTTGACAATCACTTCTTCTCACCCCGGATGTGTTTCCAAAATACTTTTTCCACAACGCCCCCCTAAAATTCTCTTCTACATGTGGTTTAACTCCTCTAAATTTAAGACCCAAAGCCATGCACATATCATTTTTTCTGAAAGTAACTAGGTTGTTTTCAATATGAAAATGAATGGCATTTAGCTCTTTCCTCCCATTCACCTTTTTTACGTAGTTGCACAGAAATCCAAATTGAAGTTGCCCACTAATTGTGCGCATCTCTTCCACATCCAATACCCAACCAAATACACTTCTCCTGAATTCAACCAATTCTTCAGCTTTAAGTTGTTGTTTTATCCTCTTCACTACCTCACTCAAACTGCAATAGCAATTAATTCTCATGCTTTCTACATTTTGCAGTTGTTTCTTTCCAAATTTTCTCTGTATCACCTAAATAAACACAAAACCATTCATTTCACACATTTCTTTTACAGTAGTGTAATCAATAATACAACTATCATGTGCAAATGTCCAAGATACATGCCATATATTCATTGTCATTGCTGTGAAGCTTTCAAATTTTAAAAAGTTCACATTCACTTTCTGCCACTTATATTTCAATAGCTTAGCACTAAATTGTCATTTCTTTCAAAAAACTGACTTCCAATTTTTTCTCCATACTACTATTTCTTCCATGTTTTCATTGTACAACTTTCGTTTTAAGCCACTACTTTTGTCATTTCTTCCAAAACACAACTACCTGGCATTTATTCCGTTCTACATATCTGACTTCTAACTTTTTCTCCATAGTAACCATCAAGGTTTTAAACCTATGGTTCATTGTACAAATTTCATGTTTCATTGTACAACTTTCATTTTACGGCATATCTGCCATCAACGTTTTAAACCTATTCAGATTCTGCCATTTTCCTCTAGTTCATTTGCCTAAATTTTGGCAAAATCAACTACAACCACCTCTGACAGTGCTTTTAAAAGTCTATACATCCTATCAATTTTTCAAATTGCATTCATCAACGAATTGTCATATATTTGAACAACATAGTTTCTGCCATTTATGCCATTTAAAATATTCATACCACTTATATGTAAATATGCCATTCTATTGCATGCATTTTATCATCATAACAAATTTCACAATTTGTATTGAACACTGGGAACAAAATCTTCCAGATTTTCGTTCCAAAGTCATGTACATATGCCATTCTTTTCCATTATTTACTAACACATACAATTGCAACACAATATCGGCCGTAAACACATAAATTGATGTTCATAAGTACAACATACCAGATCTGCTTTCTCCCGCTCTGTCTGCTGTCCTCGCCTCTGTTTCGGAACCTCGTCACCGGCCATCGTCGCGCTTCAACTGCTTCCCTTGTTTTCGTCTTCCACCTTTTTACGCTCAGTTCTCGGAATCCCTGTTGCACTTTCCGGATGGCAGAACGGGGTTGAGTAAATGGGGTGGTTGCCTTTGAAACTAGATTCCCGAGCCTTGCGCCGGAAAAATAGTCCATAATAATTGCCGCGCCGCGTTTCCCTATGTTTTCGCCCTCTCTCCTCGCAGGATTCTGGCCGGTTTTTTCGAAAACTTCCTTAGGCTGAAAAGTCAATTAATTTAATATCGAGGCTAAAATTGGAAGATCATCAGCTTTTTAATCCTATGAAACTTGACTCACGGAAGAAGTCTTATTTGTGCACATTAAAGTACAATTAGTCCTACTTAGGTAAAAAACTCATTTTTTAACTCTGATTTAAAAAAAAAATTACTTATAAGGAGTGAAAGATACCAATTGTCAAATTTATGCGTTAGCAAACATGAAAGTGGACTGTTGAAATTAAAAGAGAATGAAAGAAGTATATGATATTCATTTCTAGCTTAGTCAATTTTATAAGATCTCTATATACACACACATTACAAAAAGTACCTTGTTTGCCCTTAAAAAAAGTATCGTGTTTGAATTTTGAAAAATTACATAAAGGAATCCAAGTGCATCCTTTCAATGATTAAATGAAATGAAAGGTTGTGATTTAAAGTTCTCTTCCTTATTAAAAAAAAGAACTCTTAGAGCCCGTTTGGTAATACGAAAATCGATTGATTTTGTTGAAATTTTTGAAGTTCTGGCAGAAGTGGCTGCATTAGCTGATTCTGCTGATTTAAGAAAGAAATATTTTTAAAATATATTTTATTAATAAAATAATTAAAAAATTATATGTAAAAATAGCTAAAATGGTCATCTACAATTACTTTTCTGGCTGTTCTGGCTGAAGTTACTGTAGATGATCATTTTAGCTATTTTTTCATATAAATTTTTATTTAATTTATTAATAACAGATATCTTGTATATAATTTTTTGATGAATCAGCAGAATAAGCAAATACGCCATTTCAGCCATAACTTCATAAATTTCAGCAGAATCAGCCAATTCAGTCAATTTAGTGTTACCAAGAGTGCATATATAGGATAAGGATCAAATGAGAATAACATCTTAGGAGAGAAATGAGAACGATTCTGGAGCGTTGGATTTGAGCATTGTGCATCATGTAAAATAGAAACGTGCATATAAAAAATTGGAAAATGTGCATTTCGTTTGTGAAAAATTTTAAACGTAAATGTGCACATTAGAATTTTGCAGTACTTTAACTATAAATGTGCAGTTTTGTGAAGGATAAAGTGCATCATTTTGGAGTGTTCTCATTTCTCACGTTAAGGAGTGTTCTCACCGGAACCGCACCCTATATATATGTATAGGGGTGAGATCACATACAAACCATGCTTAACTTACTAACCTACAAACTCAATAATATGCAACACTTTAAATTTCAATAGGCAGTACAAATAATGTAAAGATGCACTCTTTGAATTTCAATATGCAATACAAATAATGTAAATATGAAACTGCTATTTTATGGCTTGAATAATATGAAACACTTTGAACTTCAATGTGCAATACAAATAATGTAAAGATGATTTGAATGGGAGGACTAGTTTGTATGTGATATCACCCCTGCATCTTTACATTATTTTTACTGCATATTTAAGTTCAAAGCGATGCTTATTACTGAGTTTGTAGGTTAGTATTTTAAGCATGGTTCGTATATGATCTCTTATATAATATATATATATATATATATATATATATATATATATATATATATATATATATAGTAAGGATCAAATGAGAATACTTCTTAACGTGAGAAATGAGAATGATTCTGGAGCTTTGGATTTTGGCATTGTGCATCAAGTAAAACAGAAATGCATATAAAAAATTGGAAAATCTGCATTTCAAGTGTGAAAAAAATTACACATAAACGTGCACATTAGAATTTTGCATTACTTTAACTATAAATGTGCATTTTCGTGAATGATAAAGTGCATCGTTTTGGAGCGTTCTCATTTCTAACGTTAACAAGTGTTCTCACCGGAACCGCACCATATATCTATATATATATATATATATATATATATATATATATATATATATATGACGAGCACTTTGTCACGGTGCGTCAAAATAATTTGATACTAACACTTATACGTAGTATAGGTGAAGTAGAGTTCGTATCCACAGGAAAAGGAACAATTCTCTTTTTATAAAACTTAGTAAATAAAGGGGGTTTTTAGTGATGAATGATTAAATTAAAAACTAAGATGAACGACTTATATGAGATTTAATTCAAGAATTAAAGGGACTTGGCTTTGCTACTTTCCACTTGTTGATATATTTTAGTCGATCCTTGCTATATCTATAACTTGTCCCCTCTCGAATACTAAAACGAGGAGTATCTCCAATTCATCGAGGGTAGTTATTAACAACGACCGTTCATTAATAACCCTTACTATTAATCAAATATAGAACAACGTCGTATACCGATATAATAGTAGCATTCAATCTTTTTAACTCCTTGATGAAATCAATTGAGATTGATAACCTCAACACAACGGTTTCGGTTTAACCAAAAAAATTGATCCCTCTTAAGTCTATTAACCACGACCGTTCATTAATAAACCGAAGTTACTTACTTGTGAAACCAACAACGATTTACCATCGGTTCGTTGATCGTTTCTAGTAGTAATTAATGTCGGAACGTTAACTAATCGTCACTTAGAAACCCTCCAACATTAATATAGAATGAGATTAAGGGAAGAATTAATAATCAAGAGAAGAAGTTAAGAAAATAACTCACAACTTTAATAATCAACAAGCTTCAATTGCAAAACCAAGAAATGGAAGTTTAGCTCCTCATTTGGAGACTAAACATGCTATAGAAAAATAAGAAATGCTATTCTAAACTGAGTTTAGGAGTATAGAAGAAGGGATAGAATTTTGTGAAGGAAAAGTGTGCTATTTATAGGTGTTTTTCAACACCTTTGGTCGGGTACCCGACCGGGTATAGTACTTACCCGACCGAAACCAGTCAAAATCAGATCATTTTCCACGTTATTGTGTTCCAGCACGTTAAAATGTCCCGGGTCAAGTCAGACCCGACCGGGTCAAGTACGGTACCCGACCGGGTTTGGTCAAAAATCAGATATTCCCTCATTCCGGTGATCTTTGGCACGTTCTGGTGTTCCGGGTCACATCTGATCCGACCGGGTCAAGTAGGGGACTCGACCGGGGCGGTTACCCGCGGAAGTTTTTAATGAAATTTTTTGAGCATGTTCCTCATCAAGTCTAGTTTATTCATACCAAATGTCAGCTCAAAACTCGATCGGGAAGGCATTAAAATAATTCGTGGAAGTTAACTGCGCCAAATTATACATAGAAAAACGCAGTTAACTTCAACGAATTATTTGACTGTCTTCCCGATCCAATGTGTAGCTGAAATTTGGTATGGATAAACTAGACTTGATGAGGAACATTCTCAAAAAGTTTCATCAAACAATTCAACCGGAAACCGCCCCAAACGGCGGTGTTCGGACGGCGTTCGGACCGGAAGGTGCTGGACCTGAGAATTTTCCTATATATATATATAGATTTAGGTTCAAATGAGAATATTATCTAGAGAGAGAAATAAGAATAAGTCCACACCCTTAGATCATGCATTCATGCGCCAAGCCGTTGGAGTTATTTTTGTGATTTTCCATTCTACAAATTTGTATACGGGTCTCTTACCCTGAATTCTTAGCTTCATTAATTACTTCACTTTTATTTAGTTATCTTTGTCACATCATTAGAATGTGTTTTTATTTAATATATATTTTGTCATCTGTTCACGTTTAAAGTGCTATTTCAACCTATTTCACTATTATTCATACATGAGAACCACTACAAGATTATTTTATTAATTCTCTCGAAATATTAAATACCCACTTTTGAATTTTTTCATCACACTCTCATAGCACTATTTTTTTCCTATTCAAAGTATCAATTTGTTTTTATTCAAAGCACAGTTTTTTCTATGCTTCAAATGCATATTTAATTTTTTTCATTTCACTTTGTGAGCACGATTTTTTTCTAATCGATGCTCCCAGTGTTATTATTTTTTGTCAGTTAAGTATATCAATATCAAATCATTTGACTTTTAAACAAAATATATCGCAATGTACACGTGCAGTCTAGCAATACACACATTAAGGCTAACTTAATGCACTTTGATATGAAATATGTTGCATATCAAACATTATACATGCACTCATTAATAAGTAGTATAACTTAATGCACTAATTTTGTATTGTGATGCATAATTCCAGTAAATTGCCTTACACAGTGACAATGAATAATTTTTAGAAAACTATATTATTGTGCATTACGATTCAAATAAATGTGCACCATTGTTGTTCTAATCACTCTCATTATATTATATGTAGTATATATATGTAACATGATAGATATTTTGAATAGAAGTGCATTTATTTAATTACTGAAATGCACAATATAAACTTTAGTGAACTCGAGTTGTTTTATGACATCACTAATATTGGAAATAAGGTTTAACGTAAACACGAAATAAATTAAAATTATTAGCTTTTAGTTGAAAGTAGCAAAAATTCAACATGGTATGTGTATTTCATTTAATGATTCAAATTATATAACTAAAATATTAGCCTCAACCGTGGAAAAACGTAAAGCAATGAGACTTTTAAGGAAGGAGGTTTAATGCTACGATTCCATGGTAATATTATTTTACTATATTGCCCATATCATTAATATCGTTGGTGTGATGCTTAAAATTCTTCCTCAAAGTTTCCCCTAATTACTAGAGTGTCATCATCCATTCATATTAAATCTTCATCGTTCGTTAATGATAATAGACGGTTGGATTTTATTCTTATTTCTCTTCCGGGACATCATTCTCACCGGAACTCTCCCCTATATATATATATATATATATATATATATATATATATATATATATATATATATATATATATATATATATATATATATATATATATATATATATATATATATATATATATATATATATATATATATATATATATACCCTGCCGCCCGCACATGCTTTCGTGAAACCATCTGTGAACATGTCGTCTTCGTCCATGGAACTCATCGAGAAGCACCGAGAGAACGCCGAGATACACACCGATCCGACGGTTTGCAAGGAGAAGGTCCTGGAGCTCCTCCGCGAGATCAACATGCCGTCGGGGCTCCTCCCCCTCGGCGACATCTCGGAGGTCGGCCGGAACTTGGAGACCGGATTCGTGTGGTTGAGGCAGAGGGAGGCCAAGGAGCACACTTTCGAGAAGATCGGGAAGCGCGTCTGGTACGACAAAGAGGTGACCGCCTTCGTCGAAGACCGGCGGATGAAACGCGTTACCGGCGTCCAGTCCAAGGAGCTCCTCATCTGGGTCACCCTCTCTTATATCCACATCCCCGACCCGGATGCCGGAAAAATCGTGTTTGCCACCCCTGCCGGCCTCTCCAGGTCCTATCAGGTGTCGGCTTTTCAAGATGACGACAAAAACTGAAACACTGGAAGCTAGATCGATCGATCGATCCATCGGGTCTTTTAATCACTGAATAAACTGGAACAGTCAAACCTCAGCTCGCCGCTATTTCATTGTCTTTAATTTGTACTACTAGTAGTATACTACCCGATCCACCCATATATTGCTGTAATTTTATAGATTTCGAAATGGTAAAAATTCCAATTCCTACACTACTCCACATATCTTCTCTTGAAGATCCACTCTACTCATTTCATCTTCATAGATATTCGACATTGTTCCATGCGTGTACCTTGTCTCCATTTTACTCGTACTTTAACAATTTTCTCTTGTTATTTGGAGCCCATCCCATTTGATTTACTTTTATTAGATCTCATCACCCAAGGAGAAATCATTTTGTCCCAACACTCAAAACTCAAGACCTAGCTACTCCGGACATGTTTACTTGTTCCGAAAGGTGGAATCTCCCACCCCAGGAGCCCCCCACCCCGACCCGACAGGATGGTGGGTAGGTTAGTCACGATGACTCAGTAAGTAGAATGCCAGTAGGGCCATACACCCGTGCGCACCAGAGGCCCAGCCTTATTTCAGATTCTGTGACCTCCACCCGGTCACTGCGGAGATTCGAACCTTGGTCCATTGTTCCAAATCTCCCACCACTCGACCAACTGAGCTACCCGTGCGGGTAAAACTACGGACATGTTTACTTCATTCTATACTAAACTGTGTTTAGTAAAACATGACTTAAAAAACTAATGATTACTAAGAGATGCTTATTAAAGATGTGTTTATTTTATTGGGCTTAAAATATGTGCTTTATCCAAATGACAACTTCCGCTTAAAAACGCTTCTCCGCGGTGAAAAGTGTTTTTACTTTTTCTATTTTTTTTAACCTGGAAGGCAAACTACCAAAATCAGTGAGGTAAATATCGGGAAATATTTACCAAAATTTTATGAAAAATAAGAAAGTACAAGAGCATAGGGGGGACCTGACCAAAACCCCTTCAGAGAAGGCATATCTCCTCAAAATTCAACGAAAGTAAGAGTAAATGACACAGATTGGGGGGCTAGGCCTAACCCGATCTCTAAAAAAGAAACAAAACCACAAGATAAAAAGCGAAGAAACAAATCATAAAACAAATCTAAAGGAAGGGAATCCAAATAGATCACAATAATAGGCCAGATGGGTTGAAGCCGCCAGATCCGCCGCAACCTGAGTAATTAATTGTTGTTGGGACAATGAGTAGGCCGCCAAGAAATGGTGTACCCAATTGCATTCCCTAACCCACTACGAGAACCGAACACCTTTCCTCTTAGCACGCAACAGACTTTCCTTAAAATCAACCTTCCATCTACCCGCTTCACCATCTTCAAGGTACCTCAACGCCACAGCAGCGTCCATTTCGACCAAGAAATCCGAGTAACCTTCTGAAATCGCAAAATCTGTGGCATACAGAGCCGCTGAGATCTTTGCTTCAAGCGGCGAGTAGACTGATAGAGGGAAAGAAATAGCAAACAACATGGCTCCTTCAGTATTCCTTAGAATCGCCCCTCCGGAGGCCTCACCAGGTAAAAGTTTAGCACCAGTATTGAGCTTATAATTTCCAGTAGGCCGTTTCCATTTCACAACATTGAAATAACCTCCTTTAAGATTAAAATTAGATGGAATTTGTTTCTCTTCATAAAGAATATCATCTATCTCTCGAACCTTCAAGTTTGAGAAGCTGGTAACCCAATTCTGAGTATATAATTTTATTTGAGTGATTATGGACTCAGGAGATGGAACTATGGTAGCCGAACCCCAAATAAGGCCAGTGTAAATCTTCCATAAATGCCAACAAATTATACCTGGTAGATTATATTTAAATATATCCGTCAACTTATTGCTCCCTGCTCTGAACCACCAAGACATAAAGATGTTTTTTTAGGGAAATAGATTTAATTATCATTAATCAAATCATTGGCTAATGCCGATACAATAAAAGAAGGAAGAAAATCAAACCAAGATTGCGAATCAGGCATAGAACAAGCTGCCTTTGCTAACAAGTGGGCTGGCTTGTTCGCTGACCGCCTAATATGACTAACTGAATTAATTGAAAAAGATTTTGCCATGTCTCTAATATCATCTCTTAACAACCCCACTAAAGAGCAACTCGAGCCATTATGAATTTTATAAATCGCTCCCACTGAATCATATTCAATTTCCACCACAATGTCTCCAAAATCTTAAAACCAACTCAGAGCTTCCAGTATTCCGACTAGCTCTTCTCCCAACGATGTCAATCTGCCCGGCCACGGTTTTGAAGCGCCAGCGACAAACTGTCCTTCTGTATTCCTCAGACACCATCCCAAACCACAACTGAATGCTCTGGTCCCCGCATCAACATTCACCTTCTAGACCGTTGGTCTCGGTTATACTGGGTACAGTCTAGAGGGGGGTGGGGACATGGAATGTACTGGTTTTTTACTTTTTCAAGCTAAGTACCAGATTTAACAGAATAGCCTGTTCTGTTGACAGAACAGACTGGCAGCGGATGGGGTTCTAGTAGGGGTTCTGTCAGATCAGCCTCAGAGAAGCAAAGGTAGTAGGCCTTCTGTTAACTCACAAGACACGTTCTGCTGAACACAGAGACCATGTCTATGGATTTAATCAGTTCTAACTAAGTGCAAGAAATAAAAGCAGTAAGTAAATGACACTAGGGATTTTTATAGTGGTTCAAGGAACAACTCGTTCCTCTAATCCACTGTTCCACTAAGAACGTCCGTTTACAACGCCTTAGTCCTAGCACTTAAGAAGCTCTCCACATCTTCTTCAAGTCTAGATGTCTCCTGGGATGCACTTCCTGGCTTCCTTTAAGACTGGTCCTTTCGCTGAGCTTCCTGGAGGTATCACCACTTCACTACTCCTGTTACTTGGACGCCCTTCTCGTTAGAGAAGAGTTTCTTGATGAAACAGGGGTTCCTCCATCTTTCTTCGTCACAAAAGATGTTTTGATGAAGTGCTTGAAGTGTTGAAGAACGAATGGAACTTTGCTTGAGTTGGAAATAAGGAGATGTGAGTAAAAAATCTTTCCAACGTTTGCCTTCTCTTGTAGAAGATGAAGAAGTTTTAATCTCAAGGAAGCTTTTTGATTTTGAACCTTTGAATGTATTTGGTTGAGCAAGTGTTGAGCAAAGGATGTAGCAAAGTTCTCTGGTTGTTCTTCGTAGAGTATCTTTTATACTTGGGTTGTCTTCCCGTTGGAGGAGGAGGACAATGCATTAAATGCGCGAACAGTTGACTTGACCAGTAGGACCCAGGAAAGTTGGCGAGTTGCTGTTATCCTGAAATATCCTGTAATGTCGACCAATCATCAGCGTTTACTCTTCAGGGTACGGGGTGCATTAAATGTGCATTTAATGCGTGTACTGTAGCTTTTCCGTTGAAGTCTTCTAGCCGTTGAAGGAATCTTCCGTTGGTTTCACCGGTTGAAGAAGTTTCATGAAAATTCTCCAAGTGTCAGGCCTTCTGGCGTCTTCAGCAGAAAGTCTCCCAGAGAAGGTCTTGAGCACTTCTATTGGAGTAAGCTATCAAAGGGTCCTTTAGGTCTTCTGTCAAGGAGAGAACCAAGAGAGTCTTGACAGATTCTGTCAAAGAGAAGTCCAATAGAGAGCCAAAGGGTTTCTGTCTGAGTACAAACTAGCAGAGACCCAAAGGTCTTCTGTTCAGACTAAGTCTATCAGAAGGTCTTCTGTCAGGAGGTCTTCTGTCAGTCGATTATTCTAAGAAACTTTACAAGAGAAAATTTCTAATACAAAATACTAGAGAGGGGGTACTGATGGATAGTGTACCCGGGGGTATATATCTGAAGGGTTATTGCGGGGAATAACTTAGAGAGAAGTCAGAGTAAGCAAGTAAATGTAGAGAGAGAGTGTATTCAGTATGAATACCGTTTTCAGCGTGGTTACAAATGAGGAAATGGGGTGCTATTTATAGTAGCAATAAATGCCGGACAGGGACACGTGTCAAGCGCTCATTGGCCGAGGGGTCACCTCAACTGGTTGGCGCTGGCAGCCGCATATGGCCGCATTTAATGCGGCTGTTGGACGGGACGTCTGTGCAGGGTACGGCGATCTGTACGCATGTGAGGCGGATATCTTGTCGAGTGAGATGCCTTCGGCTATAGAGCAGTAGCCGAGGGCTCCTCCAACCGATGGCACCCAGGTGCCGAGGGCTCACAGTGCTGAGGGCTACTGTTTTCGCCGTTTTCTCCCAGTTTCTTAATTTGCTTGAGAAACCCGTTCTGTGAGAGTTTAGAGCCTTCGACCAGGGGGCCGAAGGCACTCCTGGCGCGTAGTGCGGGCTGCTTGGTACTCTGGGCACTGTGATTTGGGCCTGTTGGGCCTCCTGGGCCTGTTGGGCCTTCATTGGTGTAGTAGGAGTCTGTGGGCCGGGGGTTCCCGGGCCATATACTCCATCAGGAGTCCCTCACTCCTTTTGCCGAAAGGTACTTGAGGGAAAAGGAGTAATTTGTGCTTGCCCTTTGATGTTGTCCCGTCGTGATCTCTGAAGTTGGTGAGGAGTTGTTGCTCTTATGTCCCTGCTGAAGGCAGTCCCTCAGTTACCCACATGTCGGGACTTGAGGGCTTGCCTTGTCGTTTGTTGGAATTTCACTAATTTTGTAATTTAATGATTTTCCCGAGAGGGTCCTCCAGTCCCCAACTCCTTGAGGCACTTGTAAAGTGGTGAAAAGGAGTAGAGTAGTTGCGTTGCTGTTGTGGGCCGAAGGCTGACGTTTTTCGTTTCATTTTGGGGGGATGCCTCGTTAAAAACCTCATTAGGAAAAACCCTGGGGGAAAAAATCCTAATGAGGGAAAAAGAGTGCACCGAATTCCCCCAATGCTGAATCGAAAATGTCAAACCTTGGTCAAAAATGGAGAATAACGGAAATGCCGAAGGCTCTCTCTTCTGAGGGCTCCTGTGTTGATTAGCCGAAGGCTTGCTGTTGATGTCCTGGTGGCGCCGAAGGGGAGCCCCTCAGTCCGGGGATCGAGGGCCTGATGGATGAGGGCAGTAGTGGAGTTGTTACCGGGGGTCCACTGTTGTTTGATTAGTTGGTGACGAAGATACCCGAGGGCTCCCATTACCCGTGTGCGATATGCCATCCGTCAATGAGGCAACTCCCCAGGGGCTATCCGGTTTTTACAATGCTGAGGGGAAATCCCCGAGGGGTGCCCTGATATGGAATCTTGGGTTTCTGAAGGAGCGATCCCGAAGGCGTCTGTTATGTGCTGTGTGGGGCACAACCCGGTGGCGCTTCTGGGTAAGTGTACCCGGAGGCTATCCTTGATGGAGTGGGGTGAAGTAGAAAACCCGGGGGCTTCCAGAATATAGCCG